TCTGCAAAACACAATCAATCAGAGTGTCACTAATTTCATTTTGTGCCTTGTGAGGAATGAGCCAGGGGGGAACTCCCCTATGAAAAGGTCATGGATCGCAGCTTGTCATCTCACTTAGTATAGGGGTATAAATCAAGGGTTCTGCGGTCTTACTTAAGGCATTCAGGATGACATGCCACTATTTTTAACTGTCAAAGTATCTTTTACGGTGCATATTGATAAAAGTGCTCTTAATTCAAAGGAGTCAAATAAAGCTCAAGCCACGTCCAGATTGATATCCTTTACATGTTTAGTTCAAATTTTCTGATGAGCATCCCTGACCTTTTCATAGATATGGGAGTCTCTAACCCTTTAATACAACTTCACCAGAAAATTGTTGTGCCTTTTTAACACACTTTCCTACAGTACACACATTGCACCGGCCCTTTCAATAATCTTCTTGGATTAAAGTAGCTGGCCCCTTAGAAATCTAAAAGAATCATGTGTTAGGTGCACCTGTTTGAAATGATTTTAATGGCCCTTTTAAAGATGTTTGTGTGAACATTTTCCAGTTGATAGGTAATTTTAAAATTTTTACTGCAGTCAGATAATGAGTTACTTGTGTCAGAAATACAAAAAAAATTGGGGGTCACCAACTTTGTTTCCGGGGTAATTAAGCGTTTTGAAAAATTGGCACACATAATTCAGCATGGTCTACAGGGGTTTAAAAGTTAAAAATAACAAAGGTGAGTGGAAAACGATCTTAGTCATATTTTGTAGGAGTGGGTCTGTTGCATAAATAATTCCAAACATCACCAACGTTTTCACAAAACTTAACCCTTCAAACCGTCACACAAATAAATGGAACACTAAAAAGAACGGAATTTGATGGTGCATTTTGCAAAAAATGGTACATTTAGTTGATAGATTTTCTTCATTTTTTCGCTAAACGTAGAAAGTTGGTAGAGAAAATGATCTATCAAAAGAGAAATAGGGGTCACCGAATGTCCAAGGTCTTTAAATCCAGGCGAAGCTATAGCAATGGCCATCTGCCCTATCATTGTTCATTTTATTACGAACATACCCAAAAGAAGCAAATAATTGGGATCACTCAGCCTTGGGTAATGCCCAACCTAAGAAGATGATAAAAACAACACTTTCAACTGACCTTTATTTCAAACTGTCTATTATTTGTAAGTGGTTTTCTGCACAAGGTTCAAACATTTGCTGGGTCCACATGCAAGGCCAAGTTTTGTAAAATAAAACCAGTTTTTTTCTCATGTTTCCAACCCCTTTTCATTCATACAACCCTTTTCCGTCCACTGGAAGAGCTAAGGGAAATGAATCAGAGTGGATATAAGACTCAAAATTTAAAGTGAATGGCCCTTAGCTAAGCTTAGCTTCACCAGCAGTGTTGTAAATACAGTTTGAAAAAGCTTTAGCCTTGATCATTATTACCAACAAGCTGCCTATCACGAAATAAAGAAGTTGGCAGATGATGGAGGTGGCAATACAGTATGGGGCCCAGTTCTCGGCCACAAAAAACGTAAACTTGTATTTCTTACCTTGGAATTGCTGTCAGGACTTAAAATTTCACGCTTAACTAGCTTCAGTATTCAGTTTACACATGTAGAGCTATCGACTGCT